GGAAAAATGAATAGATCCTTAGTATATAAACTTAGGTATCCAAACTTACCATACTACGTCGTTTTGTATCATATATATACCCTCGACAGTCAAGGTTGTAGCTAGTAACCGTAGGTGGGAGTGTCAACCCGTATAGATCTATACATCATTCTCCTGCTCCTTACGAATTAACGGTTATAAGTCAGACGTCTTTCTATATATAGTGATACTTACGTTGATAAATAGAAGGCCCACGTGAATTTAAAGCATATTAATAACCCTAAATTTGATAATAAGTTTTTGGTTTTTATTCCCATAATAATATGCATTAATTCAAATATTCCTTAGTTCGAGGTTCCATAATAAGACTGCTAAATTGGGTATTGAAATAGCATTATCACAACACAAACCAACTATATCTTTTGATTAAATAGATTCCTGATATAGTTTAAGTACCGTTTCTATAAACCTAATAAAAATAAAACAGCTACTGAAACAGTAAAAGACTTTAAATGGGGTTGTGACACTCACTTGGTTGAAGCACATACGATAAACCAAAGAGAATATGGTTTATAGAAAATTGGCAGTTTCACACTCCGATGAATAGTAACTTTGACAGGTGAATAGTGATGTTGACCGGCGTGAATAGTACTCAATCAGAGCTTGATCAGAATACCACTCAAATCTGGCTGGAAAACTGCTCCAGCGACGGCGGACGGCGACGATGAGTGGCGGTGAACGACGTGTTGGTGATTTTGTATCATCAATGTGTATTTAAGTGTAATGGATTGACTTGTTGACCAAAAATCAATCTTGAAGAATATTAAACAAGTAAGGAAGGTGTGGAGTGCACACTTGTTTAAATTTATTCAAGATTCAAAGTAGAATGTCATTTAGGGGCGAAGCCCCTAAATGAACGGGGGTCCGGGGCAGCGCCCCTGGGAGCGGGGTCCAAGGGGCGGCAGCCCCTGGCGGGGTCCAAGGGGCAGAGCCCCTGGCTAGGGTCGAAATCCGTTTTTGTGACTGTTATTGGTTTTGACAGCTGGAGTAGTTTTTGGACAAAGAAAACTGCCTTGACAGTTTTCAGACAAATGAACTACTTAATCTTTTTGGTCATCATTTTTCTGGGTACAGCAACAATCACGAAATTCATAATATCCATATTTTCAGTTCTTGCTCTCAATTCTGAGTCTTATCCGATTAAAGATTGGGAGTACCACCCAAATACTTTAATCTGAAAGTGAAACCACAATTCTCAGAATTTTCAAGGCTATTTTATCCCGAATTTCTTACACGACGGTCGGCGGCAACTATCGACGTCGTTTTTCTCACCAGAGGTTGTTGGAGGGTGGAGGCTGGTCAGAGGGATGCTCACAGATGATTTCTCGGAGGAAAAAGGAATGGCAGTCGACTATTCCGGTGGTTCTCGCTTTTCCAACGAGGCAGAGGTGGGTTGTCGGTGATGGTTTGCGGCGGTCGGAACCAGAGAGAGAGAGAGAGAGAGAGAGAGATTCTTGTGAAGGAGGAAGAGAGATGGGATAGAAATTGGCAAGTTTTCAAAGAGGGAGACCTAATTTATATAGGGTCTCTTGTCTTGATCCAACGGTCCGAATCGAATCTGATCCGACAGTCCATAATCAATCTAGATTTTAAGCTCTTATCCTATGTAGGCGACAATCAGTATATCCGAGTTTTGATAGTCTCGGTCTTCATATTCTTTATCTTTGATATGTGGAGTCCTTAACGGTCCGAATCGAATCTGATCTGACAGTCCATAATCAATCTAGATTTTAAGCTCTTATCCTATGTAGGCGACAATCAGTATATCCGAGTTTTGATAGTCTCAGTCTTCATATTCTTTATCTTTGATATGTGCAGTCCTTAATCACCAGTCGACTGCCCTCCATCCCCTTGCTTCATGTGCATTCATTTTTTGTTATAATTTGTTGGGTAGCCCTTTGGATATTCAAGCTTTACTTGGACTTGATAGATGGTCACTGGAGGTAAGTCGCGTCTATCACATGCGGGGGGTGAAGCCCCCCATGTTATGGACCTGCTTTTATATGTATAGCTAGGCTCGACAATGTTCTAGTTTTTTTTTTTTTTTTTTGAAATGGCAAACTATCTAAACATACTCCTAAATACCACCTATGAGAGACTTGAACCCATGACCTCTCATTTGAAATGATCACTCCTTACCGCTAGACCAAAGGCCTTTTGGTGACAATGTTCTAGTTAGGTTAGGTTTTGTAACATGTCTATATAATACAACTTATAGTTATGGTTTTATTGTAATATCTTTTTCAAGCTCTTGAATAAGGATATTCCTTCCTACCCTGCAGGTCGTATAGACAAAACCATGTTAAAACGGTGTCTTTGTGTGTGTTTTTTATTCTTCCTAACATACAACATGAAAGTAATGTTGAATGTTGCTGATGTATGATTTATGCTTAATGTTTATTAAAAAAATTTGAAGAAAAAAAAATACGTTTAGAAGGAAATATCTTATTACTCATGATCAAAATCTGAAATGACTCACAAACAAATATCAGAAACTTGGAAAACAGAATCGAACTTATCAATGTGTTGTAACAACTGTTAAATGATACTAGACAAGATCAAATAATAGATAGTTTTATCCATAAAAATGTGGATTTTATTTGATCGTATCACCCCTAACATGGGTTCAGTAGGCATTTAGCAAGGCCGGTGGCTTTCAACATACCTAATATTCTCTCGGTGAATGTTTTTAACGTACAAAACCATGGGGTAAAACCGTTTGATACTCTTTAATAAATTATCGGATTCGTTTGTCGACATTCCACAATGCTAAAAGAACATAGATATCATTAGATTTTTTATAAAAACTTAAATTATATTTTTATAATTTGCGATGATGTGGACTATCTTTTTACCAAATTTTAAGGAACTCTTAAAAGCTATTCAAATAAAGGGGGTTAACTAAATAATTGGAATTCTCTAAGAATAGAAAGATGACATGGTCCATTAGCCAGTTGTCATAGGAAACATTTAGGATATAGTTAAACATGTGCTATGCGAATCTCACTTTATTCATGGGCTCTTTTTCTTCTTTTAAAAAATCTTATTAATTTTCATATTTTAAAAGCATAAATTTCATCAATTCAAGGTTGGATTTGTAAATCATACAATAATTTAATTTTTTAAACTTTTTATTTTCTTTTAACTCATGAATTTTAACATATAGATTTTGATCTTACAATCCTAAGTCTTTTCAAAGGAAAAACAATTTTGATCGCATCAAGACAAATTCTGAAACAAAATCTATACAAGGATCTTTGGATCCAGATCAGGATTGTAAGTTAATAAAACCGAGTCAATCCTATATTTTAGTAATTATTTAGTAGTCTGAATCTTTAGTCTTCTAAACGGTAAGAAATTCGTCATTTCTACTAAAAAAAGCTCATAGAGAACAAAAAATATTGTTCATTTAGTTTGAAATCGCGCCTCAAAAATCCGTCTATTAAATTTCAGGATTACAAATTGTAGGAAGGCTCCTATGGCATCTTACGTTTATCTATTCATCTCGAACTAGGCAAAACCGCAAAACATCACAACACACATGTTATAAGTATTTCTCATCTTTTCCTAAGTTGTACATGTTATTGATGATCTTATTTATTTTTCTCCTTAAAATGTTTTCTTCTTAATTGTCGTTGTTTGCGTTGCGCCTACAATAATTGTGGTTACTTCTTAAGAAATTAAACCGATTCCACCATAGATTTTTTAATCTACATCAAGTTATATTGGATATTGCAAAAACAAAACACTTAGTGCAAATTTGGAGACTACTTCATTTTGGTATGATATTCCGGTCTCGAACCAATGTCACGATCATGATTTTAAAAAATGTGAACAACCATAGATGAAATATGGATGTTGTCAAACTTGTTTTAACTTATCAACGATGTAAATTTTAATTGTTTTTGAATTATTAATATTATGTCATGAATAAATGGAATATAAGGAGGAGAACATTCTCCCCAATAATGTCATTCCAACCACTTGGGTTGTGGTGACTTGGTAATGCATGTGGAAGATATGGTGGATAAACTATTGACCCATGTTCAAATCCTGGCACCACT